TTATTTTCTTTCTGCTGGTTTGTCACACAGTTTCTACTCGGCTGCTTCATTTTCCAGCTGTCTTATTGTTCTTCATCACATTCTTTTTGTTCTGCTCCAGGTGCTTTAAATCTTCCCGTCACTTGGGAGTTCAGACTGAAGGCGTTTTAAATAGAACAGAAATGGATTGAATCAAGAAAACCTCAGCTAGATTGAAGTCTTTTCTGCCTTTTTTTTTTTTTTTTACTTCAGTTTAGTGCAATTAAGGGTAAGTTTAACAAGGTTGTCCCAGTGAACTGTTATGTATTTTATCCCCACTAGTGCAAAAAGGAGAGACACAGAGACTCATATTCTGTGTAAATTTGTCGTTTTTCCCCTCTCTGGATTGTGTAGATCCTTCTTTTGTTGCTTGAATCCCAACTGTTGGCTCTAGTAGCTGTTTGTCAGCTTGGAAGTATTTGAAGTTTGAGTCAATGAGTGCAGCTACTTTTATTTGATTTTGGGATTTACCCCTGCAAACAATAAAATGGCAATGGAGAGATGTGTTTGGTCAGCAGCAACTGATGCCAGGGCCGTGGTTTCACAGCAATCTGCTTTGTTGTAAGGAATGAGTGTTAACCCAGCCATAGTTTTAACGTCGTTTCTAATTGGTGTAGTTAAGCAATTACAGACAAAGCTAACTGAGCACAATCAACTTACTCCAAAGTGGCTGCATGTCTGAGTAGCATTTTAATTTGTCGTTTTAATTTTAATTTTGTCATTTATGCAACTGATGAAAACCAGTGTTCGGAGAAAATTTTAGTTTGATCTTTTTCCTCCTAGATCTTATCCGTTGTTATCACTGCATTATTTGAGAGGGAAAAAAGCAGAAGTTAGAAGTAATAAAGGATTGAAAAAGGAATTCAGGTGCTCTTGACCTTGACAAACTATGTTGAGGACAGCAATGAGAACGTGAAAGTCATTAGAGGTGAATGGTGGGCTGGAGATAGGCACACAAGGCTCCCTGGCTGCTTGGGAGGGAAAAGTGAGTAGAAGAAAATGGCTGAATGGATAAACAGTGGAAACACTGCAAAGATATTCTCATTTCTGGTGTCCACGAGTTTAACGCCTGTTCCATAAAACATTCACAGACATAGGTAAAGAGTTTGAGCAGCAATGAGTAACCCATCAGCATTGCATAAGGAGGATTAGGACCTTGGCTTTGTTTAGGTCCTACTTGTTTAGAGTAGCTCTGTGTAAAGGCAGTGGGAGGCCTCTTTCACTCTCAGGGTGATTTAATAAGGCTGGTTATTGGCCATCACCGAAAAACTGTGTGAGACACAAGTGGATCTCCAGTTCCCATGCCAGAGGAGACATAAGAGGAAAAAAAAAAAAAAAAATGAGAAAATGCATTTTTCTGTGGAAATGTGCTGAAGAAGAAGATGAAACTGAATTGTTAAAGCTGAAACAAGCCAAACGCCACATAAAAGCTAAAAGATGAACAACACTAGCTAAAAGCAAAAAAAGGCTTATTAAAAAAAAAAAAAACATTGAAAGACAAAACAACTGGTCTATTCTGAAGCTGAAGACTTTCCATCCAGGAGGCTTTAATTCAAAAAGGATTTATGACTTCTTTTGTTTTTCACCTTCTTTGGGGGTCGGATTATTCATGACCTGGATGCATGAGGATCTTCACCAGCAACAAAAGGGTTAGCTAAAAACTGAAAGTGGCAGAAAGGTACAGTAGTTACAGACAAAAATACAAAACTGGTTGTTCAAAAAAGCAGTATATCTACACAGAGCAACAACAAAAAAAAGGACAAAAATAGAGCAAGTATGCTGAAGCAGATTTCAAAAGAAAGCAATTGTTTGAGGAATTGAAGAGATATCAATGTAGTCCATCCATCATCTTTTACCCACTTCTTCCATTTTGGGTCACGGGGGTCGCCGGTGCAATCACTGTGTGAGGGGCGGGGGACACCCTGGACAGGTCACAAGTCCATCACAGAGACACACGAGACAAACAACCATTCACTCTCTCACTCACACCTAGGGACAATTTAGAGTTACCAGTCAGCCTAACATGCATGCTTTTGGTCTGTGGGAGGAAACCGGAGTACCCAGAGAAAACCCACGCATGCACGGAGAGAACATGCAAACTCCACCCAGAAAGGCCCCCGGACCGGGATTTGAACCAGAGACCTGCGTGCTTTGAGGCAGCAGCTCTACCTGTTGTGCCACCATATCAATGTATTTATTTGGGTAAAATGTGTAAATAAATGTATAGGTTTGAAAATTATAAAAGTTGCAACAAAAAAACGTCATAGCATCCATCTCCTAAATGAGCTATAAAGTTTATGTGAATGGCTTAAATAGCTCAAAGTATGCAGAAGTAAGTAGACTTTAAATCACATAGAAGAATAAAAAAAACAGACAGTGATTGCATTGATGTAAAGTAAGGGTTAATCTTTTCCACTAGACATTTTGGAGACCTAATTGTAGCTTACTCAAACTATTCCAGATATTAAAATGACCTTTAGGATGGTCTAATTATCAATGTCCTTTTCTTTGTGGGATTTTGTATTCATTAAGCAGTAAAAGGTCAAAATATCTCAGCCTGTACAACTTGCTGCAAACAAACACCTTCCGAAGCTTACCAAACTTAGTCAAATGGAAGAAGTGGGCAGGCTTTACAACAGCTGAGCCAACATACTGATGATGCCTGAATCATGTCGCTTGTCTACAGCGTTTACAGAGGTTCATTTGCTGAGTGTTCAAATGCTCCACACTTGCAAAACACAGTATTTACATCTTACAAGGTGCAAACATTATAATTTTTTTTTTAATTAATATTATTTTTGATGACCTCTCAAATATGAGCAGGAGTAAAACAAAGCTAGCAAAAAAAAAAAGGAACAAGAGGAGAGCTCATCCAGCCAACCAAAATATATTGGGGGAATTGATGGATGGAGAATCTTAGAAAGAAAGACAGGAAGTTGCAAATGCTGCATGTTCACTGTACAGCTGCCTTGACAGCAAATCTAAATTACTCCAACTGATAGTCTGCAGCCCCTTTTGCTTGTGTGCTGCCGAATATTTGGCGTTCACAAAGACATTCATTCACATTCTGTGAGTGCAGAGGAAGTCTTAGCCCCGAGCGATGGCTTCTTCAAAAGGGGGGGAAAGAGCTGTGAGTGAAATGTGCTAATAAAGCGTGATGAACAGCTACCTCTGTTCTACTCTTCCTCGCCACCCCACCCCTCACAATTTCACTGACGTTCTCTCCCCGTTTCATTTTGTTCCCCTCTTCCTCTTTCGCTGAATGCATTTGGGCTAATTGTTGATGCTTATTGAAGCTCCTGCAAGCTTCTCTCTCAGCATCACTGATGCTTCTCAGGGTAAGAACACAGACGGTTCACTGCAGCGCCCCTCATTAATATGCACAAATAGAAACAACGTTTAAATGGTTGCAATGAAATAAAAATACGACTATAAAACCAAACATGCAGAACGATCCCTACTTCTAATTAAAATATAATTAAACTCAAAGATAGTTCACACCATATTGTCCTTTTGTATTTGACTCATTTATTGCTTTATTTAACAAAAAAGGTTTTTACACAGCTCATAAAAAGATAAGCATTTTAGTCAAATCTGCTAAAAATTTATGTTGTGAAATGTGGGTGGCAGTAGACTTTGCAGCCGATATTTGATCACAGTGGTTTCAGTGTTTTCAGATGTACAGTTAAGCTAAATAGTGAATTAGTGACTAGATAAAAAGCTTAAATACAACAGTGTTTTATAAAGGCCTAAATATTTATAGAATTATGCAGAAAAAAAACACTATATTATACAAAGTTATGTTTTTAGTCCATGTAATTACAGACACTGGTAGCAGAGCTGTAGTTAAACTAAAAATACATGTAAACAACTTAATTACTTAAAGTACAGTCATGCACTGGTATGGTTAGAATAATTACAGCTTTTGGTGATTTTATCCCGTCAGTGGTAGTGCTGCCAATGCTTGGAGGCATATAAAAGAATACTAATGCGTTCACGATATGTGAGATATGTTTATTTAAGTAAAATAAGGCAGTTTCTGCATGTTTTTAGAATAATATATCCCAGAAATTTTTTAAATGGGAAATTGCATTTTTCTGTGAGGTCCAGGCCCCGCTTGCAAAATATTTTTCTGGTTAAATAAAGATTATTAACACAGCACAAACAAGCCATTAACAGTGTGTAGCTTTGGCATGTGAACAATACACATTGATAGGTGTAGCACCTGGCAAAATGGCTGCAGAGAATGGCACCCATCACCATCAGTGGTCATTTTGTTTCAGTGACTGGTCTGTGCAGTGCATAGGACTTTTACATCACAATTAATTAATTTCAAATCAATTTTTGAAATGATTTAAAAATAACTTGTTACCAAGAAAGCTTTACAGGGGAAAAAAGGGGTATTTAGAATCTGCATTTCAAATGGTCTGTGTTTAGATGAGGAATTTAAACGCTTCAGAAATGTAATTGAAAAATTACCTATTTGCCTGCATTTGTGGGTTTATCTAATGTTTTTCTGGCGTTCAGTGTCTGTTTTGATTCAGGAAGGCAGGGGTGTGTTGAGGCAGGCAGATGGACAGATGGATGATAGCTGTTCTCTCTGAACACACAGTCTGCCTCACGCTCAGCTTGCCTTTCTCTGCTGTTGCTCATGAGTTTTTCCATCACCCTGTTCATCAGTATCTGTTCTTTATGCAAATGCTATCACAGTTAAACACACAACAATGCTCAAGTAAATAAAAAAAATACATATTCAATTTCACAAAGTAATTTTACGCCTCTGCCTTTTAATATGAAATTGTGAGCTCATTTCCAAGCATAAACATGTCCAGCTTTTGGGCTTTTATCAGTAAATCAAGGAAGCACAACCCCCCATCCAGACTGTAAACTTTGTATCTGCATGTAAGAGATTAAAAAAAATGATCGGTTGTAGGTATTCTTCTGTAAGCAAATTAATATTTTCTTCTCTTTTCTCATCCCAGGGCTCTGGTGTTTATTGCTCATGGAGCTGGGGAGCACAGTGGTCCATACAATGAGATAGCACAGAGACTGAAGGATCTGTCCCTGCTGGTATTTGCACATGATCATGGTGAGTGAACAACACACATCACAGGACTGGAAGCTCATGCATACATTTACACCTCCACTCAGTGTTCCTCATGTTTATCAGTGGTCTGCAGTGGCTCCTTCAGCCCTACTGTGTGAGAATGACTCTGCAGAAGAAGCAGGTTCATGGACTAGATATGCAGTCAAAGTGAATATATTTGTTAAACCCTATTGCTTCAGGAATTTTTCAGCAGAATTGTCCATTTGATTGTAGAACTGGTTTGAGAGTCAACAAGGCGCTGATCAGTGTTTTAGATTTTTGGTTCGGTTTTAGCATCTAAAAAGGTGGATCGGATCAATATTTAGTTAAATTTCATTTCCCACATTATAACGTTTTTTTTAAAGCCATTTAGTCAAAGTTACACTTTGCCTGCATGCTTTCATTTTTTCCAATATAAAGCCTGGCTTAATGTAAAGAAATGTATATTGCTGGACAAATTTTATACCAGAATTTTAAATTAAATCATCTTAAATTTTGAAAGTTGTTCTTTAATCACAATCAAAAACAAGGTAAAATAATAGAAAATGCTGTTTTCTCAAGGCTGTGTAGCAGCTACAAGCAGCAAGTTGTTAATTTGTGATAATCAACTTGATTGTTAAGCTTTTATGGTTTCTAATTCTTTACTGCTGGATTCAGTTAACAAGGTAATAAGTAATACTCTGTGTTTTAAATGATTGACAAAGCTTGGCTGTTGTGCCCATAACAAAAGAATATTGTTCAAAAATATATATTTTGGAACTTGCCTTTATAAAAAAAAAATGGCACAAACAAGACAATATAAGGCTTACAGGGAACATAACGCTAAAAAACACAATAACAAAGTTGCACAAAATCTTGGTTTGGGGCCTGTGGTAGTTTGGTGATTCATGCTGCTGTTTTGCAATCCTGAAGGTACAGGTTTGAATCCAGGTTGTATCAGAAAGGGCATCCGGCTTAAAACAATTGCCATATCTTTCATGTGAAATGTGCTTGCTGTGGTAACCCCTGCAGAAGGGAGCAGCTAGAAGAAAAAACAACAACTAAATCCTTTCAAATTCTATTTTTTATTATTTTCTGAAGGAAAGCATGCTTTAAACAGTCTGCAGCTCTTGTGCCTGTAATATATGGACTATGACTGCAACTCCATTTTTCCCCATCCTGCTCCCACCCTCCATGCCAAGTATATTTGGTTTAAGCACTTCTTCTCATTAACAGACATATGCAACTAAATCACAAAGACATATGGCTCTGTACTTGCTGTTTGTTTGCTGCAGAAATGACCAAAGATGGTCTCGTTTTGAATACACACTTTGAGATGGAAACTGAAAAACCAAAAATGTATTCCATTAAACTACTACAGCTTGCAAGTTTCACATCAGTCCCATTGCCAGTCAGTGTTTGTTTAGTGTGACAGAAGACACATTAATGTTAGGGATGAATTATATTTTCGGCATGGTATTGGCTGATAACAAATAAAGTTAAATATTGAACATCAGCCATTCCATCAAAATAACTCAGACAGAAAAGACTTTTGTTTTAAGTTAATTATTAATTTCAGAAACTGTCAAGTATATATATTAATGTGCTACTACTTATAGGCTTTTCACTTGTTACTTGTAAACAGCTTGAGCTTAGATTTGTGAAAATATACACATTTGCACTGTTCCGAGTGTAGTGGACTAGGCCCATGTAAAAAACTAAGTCTAAGGTCAAAACTCTTGACCTTTAGAACCTTGTGGGACAGGAACTGTCATTTCATTCATTTGAACTCAGAAATACAGGTTCACCCATCCTGAGACTTTCTTTCTTGAAGATTCAAGTGAAAAGAACACTCTCTGTTATTATCATTACTATTTTACAAATGTTGATAATCAAAGTGTCTTAGTTCAAACCATTTTAGATGTTGCAGTGCACTAATCAATTTTATTAACTGTGTAATGATTTTTATTCTCATGTCAAAGCTGTTACAGAATAATTATGCATTTTCTGATTTCTGCTTTTGAATGAGCAAGTGTAAGTTGGTCCAAGGTTGGAATAAAACGCAAAACAAGTTGTTATGTTAAAACTGTCATGTTTTAGAATCCTCTCAGACGTAAATAGAGAAGTTTTAGCACCTGTTGCTGAAACAGCGCCAAAACAAAACTCTCTCTGTCTGTGAGAACATTTCTGATCTGTTTCATAACAATTCTCGCTGTCTCTAACCTCTTACGTCACAAAACACACCCCGTCTGGTCGTTTCTGACCAATGAACAAATCCCAAAAGTGAACCGGGAAACAGCTCTTTAAAATGTCAGTACTTCCTGGTCTACTCGGTCTTGGTTCTGTTGGAGTTCTGCTGGATACACAGTCCAACCAGTTCTGTGAGAGACGGGATGATCCTGACAACAGAGCTCTTCCGAGTTCCATGGGATTATAACATTTTCCACTGAGGTGAATATGTGTCGAACAGAGCCTCGCCATTACTTCGGACGAGTAACAGCATCCTACTGAGACGCTGAAAGGGTGCGTTAAACGGAATCTCACCTGAGACATCTCCAGGTAAAGGAGCCGATTTCATCACCTAAGTGTACTGTAAGGAAAAGCTGAAGAAAGCCGGAGAGTGTCGATTCTGGTGAACACATTTCACCCCTCACACACCATCTTACTCCCTCTAAACTTCTTTCCATCTTTAAACTTTTCTATCAAGTAGAAATTCTTCCAGATATTTTAGAAATGTCTGTGTAAAATGCTCACCCACATTCATGTGGGTAAAAGATCATAATTGTACAGTTTTCATAAATGTCTGTGGTGAAGCAACGGAAAAATCATGGCCGTATGATTTTTCCTGATTGATTGCTTATGTTGTTATTTTCATAATTTGCCAAATTAATGTAAATGTTTGATTCTGTAAATAAATGACCGCATTCATTTTGATGGGTCAAATATAAATGACGTCTCACGTTTGCATTTCCTTAAATTCAATGCACGTTTTATTCAGTCCAGAAAAATGAGGAATCCGTGTTAAATGATGAATATATCTGAGCATCTGTTCATCTACACGAGTGTTGTCATTGTGTTAGAGAGAGTAAATGTCATGAATACATTTGACATTGTAGATGAACATATACTGTGATATATTCATAAATTAAATGGATTCTTTCATTTTTCTGGACTGAATAATATTGTGCGTTGAATTATTAAATGTGGACGTGAGACATTAATTTTCTTTGACCCATCAAAATGAACGTGGTCATTTATTAACAGAATCAAAATTTAACATCAAACATTTACATTAATTTGGCAAAATATGAAAATAACAACAGGTTAATTAATCAGTTTACAATTAGAAAACCATACGGCGATGGTTTTCTTCACTTCAAGCTATACAACAGACATTTCTAAAAATATCTGGAATGATTTCTAGCAGATAGAAGAGTTTAAAGATGGGAAAATGAAGTTTAAATGGAGAGAAAGGATGGATAAGGAAATGTGTGTGTCGGCATCAGAACAACACGCTCCTTTGGACCAGCTTAACCCACGGTACACTTTGGTTGAGATCGACTCTTTACCTTTGCAGAGGATAGTTTCAGCGTTGGTGTAGAGCTTTACTTTCAACTCTTCCAGCGTCTCCGTAAGAACAGCTAAACCTCAGGAGTCGTGAGATCATCCCAGAGCAGACATTTCATAATTCCTCTGGACTTCTCTCGTTCAGCTTAGTTGCAGATGTCCTGAGCATCCTGAACTCTGGAACTAAGCTGAAGCAAAATTGAAAACAACATAATTAATTAGCAAGCTTTCAGAGACCATTGCATGGTATCTGGGTTCAAGCTTTACAACAGACATTTCTGAAAATATCTGGAATGATTTGCTAGCAGAATAGAAGAGTTTAAAGATGGAAAATGAGGTTTATCTTGAGAGAGATGGGTGAGGGAATTTGTCTGTTATAACCAGAACAACACGCTCCTTTGGACCAGCTTACCCAACGGTACACTTTGCGGTTGAAGATCGACTTTTTACCTTTCTGAAGATATGTCAGTTCCGGCGTAAAGTTCCACTTCAAGCCACTTTTCAGCGTCTCCGTAAGGATAGTAGGGAACCGTTCGGAGTCGTGAGATCATCCAGAACAGACTTCATAGTTCCTCTGAACTTCTCGTTCAGCTTAGTTGCAGATGTCCTGAGCATTCTGCATTCCAGCATTCTGAACTCTGCTGCTCTCGGAACTAACTCACAGCATTCTCCCAGCGTTCTTCTCAGCGTTCTTCTCCGAACTTCTCAGAACTTACGTGAACTAGGAAGTGTTGCACCTTTTAAAAGAGGTCACTTCCGGTTCATTTGAGAACTTTCTGATTGGTCGATGGACCGAAACAGAGGTGTGTTTTTGTGATGTAGGAGGTTATTAAAAGTCAAGGGAAAAAGATTAGATTGTTTAAGAACAGACAGAAGATATTATGAAGATTCCAGACTTCGTGGAGTCAATTCTCTAGTATCTTTCTGTAAAAGTTAAACATGACATTTCTTTTCAGTAAACTTGCAGTTGACCGAAACTTGACCTTTGACCAACTTACACAACTTGCTCATTGAAGACAGAAAATCAGACAATGCATCATTAACCTGATTTCTACTTTGAATGAGGATTAAAAGTCATTATTACTGTTTCACAGTTGATTAAAAATGATTAGTTCACTTCAACATTTAAAAATGGTTTGAACTAAACACAATTTGATTATCAAAACATTTGTAAAATAGTAATGATAAATAGAAAAAGAGAGTGTTCTTTCAATTGATCAGTGCAGGACACTTAGAAAGTCTCTGGATGAACTTAATCTTGTGTTTCTGGACTCAAATCAATGAAATACAGTTCTTGTCCCAGGAAGGCCCCTCAAGGCCAGGACTTGACCTGAGGCTTAGTTCACTACAACATTAAACATAATCCAAGTTGAAGTGTTACATCATTTTCAGCCCCCTTTTTGGCATCTGCATTTGTTAGCAGGCCAAACTGACAATGACCATGCAAAATAATGTAT